CTATAACAGTTATAATAGTAATAATAAAAATAAAACCAAAATTGGCAATAGTTATAAGACGTACAGTTGAGTTGGGATAAATGCAAGAAAGTATGTTATTTTAGTATTGGGAGAAATTGTCAAAAATAACATCCGTCAAAACTACTATCAAGAGCTTAATTTTTTTTTTCTTTAGTAAAATCCTTGATAATTATTATTGCTATGCTGTGTAAATATTATTTGAATTTATTAAGATTATAATATACACCTCAAATAAACATATATGTACGGTTTTTACTAAAAAGCCATTTACTTTATATGTATACAATGTGTAGCTGTAATTATTAAAATTAATGGGTATTTTTTATGAAATGCATAATATTGTCTGACGCTCCCGCATTGCACGAGGTTAATTGAATTCGTTATGCGGGAAAGGTCGAAGTTTGAATTCCGCAGTTTTTCCATGAGCCTAAAAAAGCTAACACGAATAAAAATGTATGAAATGCCAAATGATTTCGCCTTTGTAAAGTATAATTGCAAAAGATTTTATAGCTGACTCGATGGGTCTTTTTCTTTTTATTGAGTCCGGTACAATCTTTGTTTAAGGGTTTTTAATCGAACCCTCATTACTGGTGATGTTTGTGGATACATTGGATAGTAAATATATGTAATAACAACATATTGTATTGTTGCCTTTGCCGAAGGCTATATTGATTCGCTATGGTAGAAACTCGGTTATGTAACAGTGTTTTTAGCGAATAAACTGTTTTTGAGTTTTCCTGGAAAATTGAACACCAGAAAACCATTAATTACGAGTATTGGTGCACAGTACTCCTCCGGACAGTTTCCACTTATGGAAAATATGGAAAAGGTAACAAAGAGTCAGCAATATAATTACAAATATTATTTATTTATGCAATGTAGTTTATTTAATGAGGTTACAAATAATTAAGGAACGATAATTATACCTTAGGGTTGGTTATTGGTTGGGAAAACTATTTATTCAATCGTCGCGGTTTATTCCATGGAGTCCATTTGACTTGTTTTAGTCAGGGTATGAGTCCGGAACGTTTATAATTGCAGAATGTGAAGGGTCTTTTTTTACTCTAGTTAGCTGAGGTACTATAGTTAATCTTACTTTACTAGGGAATACATCACATTGCACTTAAATGGCACGTCACAAAACGTACAAAAGAAAATATTCCCTACAGCTTACAACAATTCCTATATTTAAATTAAAAGCAAGACATGAGTACTATCTTATCTGTGTATAACCATTGAAACATGTTAACCTGTTGACAATATCTATAGCCTACTAAAACGACCAGGTTGTTGGTTTTCATAATAGCTATGCAATTTTCTTACATTTTAGACTAGCCACTAGGTCGATGGACATGTTTGGTGATAATAAACAATTTCCTAGAGGGGTGTGACGTCAATCAGCAAGGACAATTCTTAACTGTGATTGATTAAGTGATTTTTGTGACAATATTATAGCTATTAGCTTATTAGATTTGCTAATATTCCGCTTTAAAAACATTAAAGTAGCTTTTGATTATAATTGAAAATTATCAGATCTTGTTATGTAATTTATGATTCATGTGTTTAGTTTTATCAAATAGTAATAAAAAAAAAAGAATAAGTAATAGCAAACCTATTATTACTTAGTTTGTTATATATTCACATTAATCGGCGAATTTTGTGGATATATTTTCATATATAACGATATTAGAATTTGAAAGTATAAAATTTAATTTTCAATAACTTTATCTTTTACCTCTGCGGTTTAGGGTGTGGGAGATTAGACCCACAGTAACTCCTGCATATCGTAAATGGTCAATAAAAGGAGGTAGCACAGGGAAGCGGTAATTGCTATTACCAACATTGGCGAATTCTGCAGCAGTACTAATGGCAATTGAAGGAATTGATGATGACAGCTTGTACATTTCTCAAATGCTGGCTCATCAACTGCTATGCAGAAAGTAAGAACAAACTGCTGCATTCATTTTTTTGAGGATAATGATGAAATGGATTATTTTGGGCGTAGAAAAAAGCTCTTGCACGAAATTGAAGGAAGACGCTATGGATAGAGAATAATATATACATGTTGGGAATTAACAAATCACATAATATAAAATGACTTATATAACACACATACTATATTTATGTATTGTAAATATAACATTTTTAAAAGGGGCTTAAGATGTTTTTGATAAAATCCGAATTTTTAAATTTCCATTACTACATTTAACCAATCTACGGATTAGAAAAAAATCTTTAGTAACGATATGAAAAACCCTAATGCTAATAATGTTCATATAAAATAATATGTCATACTAGCGTCTAGCACATCACACTAAGTCCTGAAAGTAAAATAACTTGTATTATCCATAAAATAATATAACCAAATAAAATGAATTAAGCAACTTTGCATTATATTTAAATTGTTAATACTTTTTCAATGCTTATTTTGTTTAACAAATAGTTATTTATGAAAGTTTTTTTTTGAAATAATATTAGGCACTAATCGTTTTTAATTTGATGTTTGCGTTTTGATAAGCTTACATTAATTACGTTTTACGGTTTATATTATTCCTGCATTATTTAAGAAACGGGTCTTATCATTATTTGTATAAGCAATGATTAAACTTGTTTATGACCAAAGTACCTACAGCGTGTATTAGTCTATAACTTTTAATTTGATAGTTGTTAAAAGTATTTGTTGGAAACTAGGTATATATATATATATTATAAATATTTATTTATTACAGATACTTAATATTGAATAACTATAAAGTAATAAACATAATTAATAATAATAATAATATTTGTCAGTACCACACTGAATGCACTGTTTCATGCAGCGTATTTCATTTAGCCAACGAAAAACAATTTAATGAATAAAAACAAATTAGTTAATTTGGGTATTTATTTATTTGTTTTTTTCTTTACAATTTTTTTGTGTTTCATTTTTTCCCCATCAAGTCGTGAATGAACTGATGTGGGAAAAGCAATTAAATATTCAGACAGTTTTAGTAGCTTTAATTCGAGCAAAGAACTTAAAGTCCCTGCTCTCATTATACCAACTGCGAAGATTTAAAACTAATCGAGTTATTCATTTACTACTGTACTATGCAGTAAAAAAAAAACCTATGTGAACCGTAAAAGCACTTTCATCGGTGTTAACAGACGTTTACGACACGAACACAACAAATTAAGTAGAATACAGCAAGACATTTGGCTTTTGGGGAAAACACTGTTTTGAATTCATTAAAAAAAAAAATGCTTAAATGATAAACTTAGTCGACGCGAATAGTACCCTCTAAATTATAATCATTATAATGTCAAGCGAATGAAAAAATTGTTTCTCGTTGGTTCTACATTCATTAGCTCTACGATTTTCCTCGAATGTTCCCAACTTAAGTATACTTTTTAAAACAACGTATTTATTAAAATTTTTAATGTTAGTAGTTGAACACTTAAAAATAATATACAAAATTCACGAAACTATTTATATAGATGCCGTTGTTATTTTCATTTGTATTTTATAAAACCGCAAACTAAATTTAAAGATGATTGCAAATAATTAATTAACGAGTAGTGTTTAATTTCAAAAAAAAACCGTGGGCTATAATATAAGTTTTTGGTTTTTAATTTCAAATGGGATTTATTTTAGTGCTATACAGCTACCATACTGCATTTGAAAAATGTCAGAGAAATCTTGATTGAAAAATTAATTAAGTGCAAAAGTAACATTAGTTAACACGACGAATTTTATAACTAAGACTAAACTAGTACGTATAGAAATACTCAGTGGCTGTCTCAGTGCACACTGTAATTATACAAAAGCAGCAAGGCAACACGCGTTTCATGATAACTGACACGTGAGTTGTGTCACAGTGTTAAACCGAAACAGCTGCAATGTGAGGCGAAGTCTAACATAAAGTCTTCTACAAAGGTGTGTCACGTTAAATTGATATACTCGTCACGTAACGTTTCTGCGGAATTAAAATTATTAGAATGTTTGTGTGCGGCAATTGTGAATTAAACAAATAAAACTTAAAACAGTTAAATAAATATTAAAAACTTTTTTTTAATAATTAGTTTTTGTAATTTTAATAAAACAGAATGTGATCTTTATAATAATAATAATAACTAGTTTCTAGTTGAAAACGCCTACAATACAATGCAGATTTTTGTGCAAATATAATTTTAGTTCCATGTACATAATAGTGGTATTTACTGCAGTGAACATATTTTTCTATTTTCTTGTATTATTATTAAGGAGAATTCATTTTTAAATGCTGAAAGATAAAATGTACATTTACACATAACAAAAATACTAAAATCGTATGTATTATTATTCAAAATTTTATTATTAACTAGAAAAGTTTAATGATGAAGTTTAAATATTTCAAAACTAGAAATGTACAAATTTAAACAACATATTCACTCATAGGGGATTTGTTGTCTTCTGTAGAATACTTTAGAATACATATAAAACGAAATCCCAACTTTATAAAACTATAATGACCTTTTTGTTTGTTTTATCGTTACTTTAAAATAATATTTGCTAACTGGCTGTTATGGTTTATGAAATTATGCAATAAAAAGTTTCTAGGTACCTACCGGCTACGTACAAGATTTATCAATAAATTAGTTTTTTGAGCAAAATTGTTTGTTACAAAATAATTGTGGACACTGCTAATACACTACCGATATATTATTTTCATAAAAAACTTAAATTCTTTATTAATTGTTTTGATAGCAAAGAATTTAAGATTTCATAGTTTCGTGATATTAAGGAGTTTTATTGTTCTTGAAGTACTCTAATAAGTTAATTAATTGAATGCATTATTTATTAATAAGTTAGTATAAACGTATAACAACCTTCAGAAACTTTTGTATTCAATTATTTATACATTTAATTACATGATATTTATATATACACTTACAATATTAATAGTGTTAAGTTACAGTGAATTTCATAAAGCATACATTTATTCTAAACATTGTTTCAGATGTTTGCTGTCCATTGAATATTGCATTCTAGTAAGTTTTATTATACATATTCAAATACATATTTTAGTGACTTGACTTTAGTATACATGTAGAAAATATGGTTAACTGGGTAGATATATTATATCTATAATACAGTTAAATTGGATTTAAATCTTTTAAATATTGTTAACATTATGAAGGAACCTCAGCTGTCCAATATGTATTTAAAGTTTCATTAAAGATATCATCGGTGTCATTGTTGTCATTTGAAAAACAGTAATATTTTGGTATCGATTATTTGAAGATGGTTAATTTTGATATTAAAATAAACTGGTGTAATGTTTACACTATAAACAGCTATGGTAACAAAATTACAAAAAAAAAGTTATATTATAAAATTATTAGTATATTATATTATATTTAATTATAAGTTTAAATAAATACAAAGCTATAGAATATAAATACAAGTTAGATACGTATACTATACTACGTATTATATAAGTTGGGGTAGTTAAATATGCAATAAATATGTAGGTATAAAATTTGCTTTGAAAAAATTAAAAATTAGTTTTATTGGTCATAGTTTTGTAAATTATCTAAGCTTATATTTAAATTTGTAATTAACTATCGCATGTTAAGTCGTATTTTGTATTATGTACTTACTTTTTTCTTTTTATTATAAAATATTAAATAATTCTATTATTTTTTTATACTTTTTTGTTAATAATTATTATGGTTTAAAAAAAAAAAAAAAAAAGAAGCCAACAAAGACCAACCGGGAAAAAATAATTAAAAGGAAACAATATTATAATAATTTTTTTTTTTTTTACCAGCATGACTATAGGGTTCGAGCCAAGAGTTTTCTCAATTGCCGGTAGAGTGCTTTGAACAATGAGTTTTTTGTCATTATCGAGTGTTAAAATCCAATTTCGTTTAATAGCTTTTACTTAAAATCTGGTGTATTTTAATCTCAACGAATAAGCACGACCACACGGCGAACACGGTGATGTAAATTGGTAGGTCCAAGTCGTAAAATCCCGATTATTTTTTAGTTCGGCGAATTCCGCTGGACATTTTAGCCATAACGGCTATATGACGGCGTGCGGCGGAAAACTATAACAAAAAAAAAACCCCGTAATTAAATACATATACCACAGGGGGTTTTGAACGGAACGATACTGTGGTGATAGTTGAAAGTATAGAGTGTGCGTAATGAAGAGCTTCTTGCTAAATCACGTGTGGCGTGCGCTAAAAACGTTTTTTCATTTAGGATTACCCACCGTGGTAGCTGTGGAAAGATAAGGACGGCGTGTAAACGAAAACGACACTGTGACTTGTGACGGTGGGCGGCAGAGAGAGAGAGAGAGAGAGAAGATTTTCCTTTATAATCCGTTAAACCTTAAGTGCGCCTTGGGGTACATCCAGGAGGCAATACGTGACAAAATACGAGGTGCGACCGCCGCCACGTCCCGCCGTCGCGCGTCGACCTGTGAATGCGAATGTGATAAAGAATAGATGGCTTTTACTATATTATATAAATTAGGTATGCCTTTAGCGTTTCATGATTTACGCAACGTGTACAGTGTATACCATTTAATGGCGTTGCCATAAACTTGGATTGCGCCGTTGGGTTTTGACGAGCTCATCACACCAATCCCTAGAAAACCTATCCGCCAAAAACCAACACTGTTTAGCATCCTTCAGATTAGATACATCACACGCGTTTTGGTACCGGCGATAAATAAACATTTTACAGTTTTACAGTTTAAATGTGATTTGGAGAAATCCAATGTCTTTTGAACGTTTTAAGGGTACTTTTGTCGACGTGGCCGCGCGTGGGTTTTGACGTTTTCATATTTTCAGCTTCGACGAGGAAATGAAAAAGTTTCGGTTTAACGATATTGTTTTTTTTTTTTTTTTTGTGTCTCGACCGGTGATAACTTTTTTTAACATCTGGACCGATTTCTTCATATACCGTTACGCAGTCTCTAGCTAGGAAATTGTACACAAGAAAGTACTTTATATAAAGCCAGAAATTGCAAAATTCAACGTCTTCCTCTTCAATTGCCAGTAGGCGGGGGAAAATGTAGTAGAGACGGAACCCAATGGGATTAGGCTTGTCTCGGTTGACTTGAAAATATACAAACAAGTCATTAAAAACTCTATATTGATTTTAAAATATTGTGTTTTATTGTTCATTTCAGTTAACACCACTAATAATTAATTATTATATATCTATTCAAGTTAAGAAATATACTGCAGGGAAGCCAAAGCGCATAATTGTCGTATGCGCCTGTCATATATCATATATAATAACATTTGTTTTTTGACAACTAGTTTTCACACTTTCTCAATCTGATTGTTATTTTATTGAAGTTATTATGTTTGTTGACTTTCACACTATCACGGTTCACCTATGCAAACGATAATTCAAACACTAGACACAGTTTTCGTCCTTGAACCGTTTCAGTTAATGGTTATAAAAATAACCAACGCTTGCTATTGAGTTTGGAGGCTTATACGATTTATTATAACATTATAGATTACGAACTAACCGAAAAATAGTAAACGAATTTCTTAAAGCAATCTGTGGTTGACAATTTAATTCATATAATAAGAATAATTTTAAGGAAAATGTGGTTCATTAAGAAGGCCTCGGATGTTGTTGTTATTACTCCATTCGGAAGTTTGACAATCATGCACCGAACATTCCAAGTAGGAGATGGATTATACGGTTATTCGCGTTTTTTTAATGGGTTTTTTGTACGTGAGAATTTGTTTAATTAACCTACTTACTAGATTCGGCTCTTTTTTTTTTATATTGGAGAACAGACGATCAAACGACGAAGTGCGGTGTGAGTAGTTAAGGTTACATTGAAGTACACAAAGTGGTTTAGAGGGAAATAAGAGTTAGCCAACAAAGAGGTATGAGTTATCTACTTATTGTACAGCTGGAAAATTACGGTCTTTGCGAGATGTCAAAGGAAGAGAGACCAAGAAGACTGCGGGCAGTTTGCCTAAGTACGGGTAATCAAAATCGGTTGTACAACGAAGTTGACGGCAAGATAAAATGTTAATAGCTGTGTATATCTTATTTCAGTAACTACGGCATACTTAATTGATGAATACTCAAACACCGTGGTTAATATATTAATATAACGTGGGATGCAGCAGTGGGTTGCCTAAGCAAAATCCCGTTTGCTGTTTTCTCATGCATAATTTGTGTTCTAGTTTAGTTTTGAATAAAGTTCAATTGAGATTATACACAGCCTACAATGTATGTATAAGGACACATACTCGTGAGCTTGTCGACCTTTCCAAATTATCATTAAAACTTAATTTAACTGCATACCAACTACATGGCACAATAATTATCCGTGCAACGCAACGACAACATTATCCCTCAGAAGGTTGTATAATTATCGTGATAACATCGTGCATTACTTTATCTAACCATCTCGGCGAGTACGACAGTTGTACCGAATGGCTAGTGAAAAATAAATTAGCCGTAGTAGGGCATAGTGTATATTTAAATAATAACCGAGAGTCGGTCGGCGCGGTACAAGCAAGAAACGTGACGAAAATATTTAACCACTCAGACTTGGAGACGCTAAGCTTATAATTCCAGGCCTATAAGAATAGACGTGTCGAGCGACTTGGCAAAAAAAAAAAAACCACCAATTATCTCTTACTTTTGATACGTTGTCACTTTTCTCGCTGTCGCGTAACGTCTTACGGGTAGGGTTTCTTTGGTCCTGCACTCTTCTCCGAGACACCCGTGATGAATATATTTGCGTGCTCGGGGCAAGATTATATATTGGCCCTGGGTTATTTATTAGGACGTTCCGTGTCCGCGTCGACTGCACTGGATATTACACTATAATATTATGCATTCGTGTACTGAAGAACATCATAACGCACCGGCCCGGGGTGAAACGACTTCTATGATATGGGTCAGTGGTCCGCTGGGAGTACAGAGGAAAAGCAGCCAAACTGTCGAAACGAAAAAGCAAAATAATCATTTATGTAAACTCCATTTCTTTATTTTCCGAGTAAAGAATAACATACATGAGTACAGTTTATCCTTGTTCAACCAACATATATGATATGGCGTTCAATTACCTATGTATATATATATATATATACATTAGATATATACAGTATCATCATATGATAGAGTATTTTTTTCTTAAGAAATATATTTTTAGTTACAAAAGTTTTGTATAAAGAATTTTATAATATACTATACAATCAAAAATATTTATTCATGTTCAAGTAAAAATATTTTCTTAGATGATAGTTATTGAGCGTAACTTTTAAAAGTCATATTTTAAGTTACATACATGTTATACAGAGAATATAGATGTATAGTGAAAATAATGGCTGATCTAAATCAGTTCTGAATATTATATAGTTTTTGAGTTATAGACAGTTAATGTAATGGGCGGCGAGGGTAATACCTACTTAGTCTGTTTGTTTTTTCCGACTGGTATAATTATATTTATTTTTTGTAGACCATGATATCTGAAGCATGTAGATGAGTTCCACGACGTTGGGTAATATTTCTTACGATACTGTGCCTAGCACAGAAAGTAATTCGAGTAAATGTCGTATCTAGGGCACATAATCAGTATCCTTAGAAATGCAACGACCTGTGCGGACTCCCTGGAGTTATAAAGATGATTCCGTGTAAGAGTTGAAAAAGATAATGAAATTTACATCAAACGCATGTTAAAAAGTCGAGTTCACGAATGGAACGGATATGGAAAGGGATGGAAAAATCTTCATTTTATCTCATTAAAAGAAAATGTAACAAAGTTTAATTTTATTTCTCCTTAGAAGCAAAAAGAGAAAATGTAATATTTATTTTGTAACACTTTTAAGCCTTGAAAATATTCTGCAAACTTGCCAGAAATAGCAACTAGATGGTGTAAACGGAGTATAGAGTTTGTGAGCAGGCAATAACAATAATATTGTTACAAATCCTAGTATGCTGATTGCCAGCCTGTGTCAAATGTTTTCATAGACTAAAAAACACATAACTAATAAAA